CAACTCCGAGTACACGCAAACCATTTTTGACACTAACTACCCATTTTTGACACCAACTACTAAAAACGTATTATAAAAACCACAGATAACAGGTAAATATCGCAACGACGATTGCAAAATCCGAATTCAGTATATGGAGTCGATGAGGCCACGTGGCGAATGATGCTAGAGACTACAGTTGTCCAACTATGTAGTGGTTTAATGTGCTATAACTTCAATAATTTTTTTCTCAGAAACTATAAGGATTTTACAAAAAATTTTTTTACAATATTGACTCCATTTCTCATGCCACATCTATTCCCAATTTTTTTTGGATAAGTTGTGAATCACCCTGTATAGGTATTGTATTCATTTTGACTAGTTTATTTTGTTATGTAAAAGAACATATGTTTATGTAATATCGGAAAAACTGTGCGGTTTGTAAAAAATTTGAGTACGCCAATGGCTTCCTTATGAAAATAGAACAAATAATGTTCAAATTTTTTTCTTCAAAATTTGATGACAGCGGAAATAGAGAAATTAATGTAAACGGGCGATTTTTCAAAAAAACCCTATATATCTAAAACTAATCAAGTTAGCCAAGATATTTTGGTACCAGCGCAGCGAAGTAAACTCAAAAGAAGAGGACGGGACATCGATATCAGATTTTTTGTATCTATCACCGTTTTGGCTGTAAGTACCCTATAAAACTATCGAAAATCAATGAATACAAGCTATACATCGTACAAAATTCATTCAAATCAAATATAACGGAAATTATCGCTTTTATAAACTAAGGACAATTCACATTTTATATACAGGGTGGGCTCTTGAAAACGAAACAGAGCGAATAACAGAAAAAATATTTTTCCGAAAAAAGCTTGAGACAGGTCTATTTTTGATAGAAGGGGGACATCTTTTCAAATAGATTTCTTGTTACAGACCCCCAAAAATGTTAATAGGGAAGGAGGGTTAAGTGCCACATCATCTATACAACTGTTTTATTTTTTGAATTTGACCGATTAGTTTGGGGTTGATAATAAAAAAAACTTCTTTTTCTACTACTACTAGGTACATATAATTATAAGAACAAATATAATTTGGTAATACGTATTTTGTAACTCGGAAATGTAATTAAAAATATCTTACTTTAAGAATTAATTCGATATTAATCCGACGTAATTTTTTAAAAATATTTTTTCCTTTATGTGAGTATAGGTATTTTACTAGGCTTAAAGCAAAAAATTTCATATTGTAAATTAAAAATGTAAACAATTCGATAGAACATAATTTATGATTCACGTGTTGATAGAAATGGTTAAGCATAAATCGCAAATTAAATTAGAGATTTTGTACTAATATAAGCTATTAAATAAATTCAAAAGACTTACCCAGACAAACATTGGCCCATTAAAATTATAAAATTTACATTATCTACTGTCTACGAGATTTGATATATTGAATGTGTCAAAATTATATTGACAGTTACAAATAAATGATCGCTGTTAACTCTTATCATGTATTGCCTATTTTTAATGTATATTATGTATAATATTGAAAACAAAAAATAGTGCGTGGAATTTCCAATATTTTTAAATATGGAAATACAGGGTGTTTGGAAACTAAACCGACAAATATAGACAGTAAATTCTAGGGATTACCTATTTCATATCGATTCGATGACATTCATAAATCGTCTTATCCAAAAATGCTTCCTGGGAGGTATGGGACTCTTTGAAGATGACTCTTTGACATTGTATTTTTTTACTGTTCAGATCGCTGTTTATCTAGAAGGATCAAACTTAGGTTAGTTCACTCTTATAAGGGCAGCCCTTTGATGTAAAAATGATCTTATAATTATTGTAACAAATATGTTGCAAATAATAATTACCGTAATCATTCTTACGCCTTTATTGTGCACTGGACGCACTCTGAATAATTTCGAAGGTAACGATAACGAGAAGTTGTTATTAATAAAAAAATCGAAAAAATTACTTTTGGGGTCTGATCATGTCTACCATATGTTTTCGGAGTCGCTGAATCTAAATCTGGGGAGGATTTTTCATAACCTAAAAAAATAGGCACAAAAACAAATAAATCCTCTATCCATTGACCATTCGACTCCCATCCCATAACCCCTTAATCTTATACCCACTTAATCTCGTAACCTCGAAATCCCATAATCCCGACATCCATAACCCGGTAAGAAAGAGACTTAAGCGCGATTAAGTCCTGAAACACAGCATGTTTGAGCCGTACGTGCTTCTTGAGTCTTAAACCCATATTCCCCCAATAATCCCATAACCCTCACAGCCTCAAAATTCGGTATAGAATAGACTTATGCAGGAACTCTCATGAATCGAAATTTCGTACTTGTACTTTATTTGTGCGTTTGCAATCCAGGGCACCTCCATGAGGTTGACGTTGGGCAACGGAGTTATTCTGTCATCCGGCAGAGACCCTGGATAACGGCGTTCATACCGTCACACAGTGGGGAATATTGGACAAATTTCTCGCCACTCGCCAATTTTTCGTCGTCGCGTCGTGATTTTTTTTTAATAATCTCGTGGTAATCTGAATTTTCATATCCGGTAAGGTTTTTTCGAAAAACCCTTTTTTTTAATGGCCAGGGAGCGCCCCAACCTCAATGTCGAAGAAAAGATACTCGATGTTCAGTGTCCGGCCCATTAGCCTGCTCCCGGTTATGAGCAAAGTGGTAGAAAAAATTATCCTAACCCGTTTAAGAACCCACTCCCAAGAACTGCAAGTCATTCCAGACGAGCAGTTCGCCTTCCGACCCAATCACTCCACTGAACTCCAAATCCTTCGCCTTACCGAGCACATCACGGCGGCCTTCAACAGGGGACAGTACACTGGTGCTGTCTTCCTGGACGTCGCAAAGGCCTTCGATACGGTTTGGCATGAAGGCCTACTGATGAAAATGCTCACCAACCAATATCCCATATCCTTNAGATTGTCAAATCAAATCAGTGAGAAAAATCATAGAGTGAAAAAATTTGTCACAATTATTTTCTTTAATAAAAAGTATAAATGTATTAGATTTAGATAATATTTGATTCTCCTAACTCCTGAATTTGAGGTTAGGTTAGTCTATCAGGCTCCATTGCAAATTTAATAAATGCTTAGTAATAATAAGCCACAATAATGTTTTACAAACGTTTTATTGCCATGTAGATGTTTTTATGGAATTTTTCTAGCAAAAAATTCGAGTTAAACAAAATTTCAGGGTCTTTAGGTTATGTTTTTAGTTTTGACTAAAGGTTTTGGCGATCGCGATGATGAACACTCAACAAAAATACATTTATACTTTTTATTAAAGAAAATAATTTTGTGACAATTTTTTTTCACTCTAATGATTTGATTTGACAATCTTTCCAGTTTTGAGTTTAGGTTCTTGGGTTAAGGTGTCAGATTTGGGTACAGTATGGCACAAGATGTGTGCTCTCGGAAAAATCGTTGATCGAATCTCTGTAAAATAAAGATATTTTTAATTTTTTTATTAATCCTTAATTTAGTGAGTTTAAACTTAGTTAATGCTGGTTTTGAGATTAGGTTTTTTAGATTCAAATTCATGGTTTGGGTATAACATGTTACGTAGGGTTCTATTGAATCTATTTCGTACTTTTGGCATGTAAAAAAACTTTTTTCCAATGTAAATTTCGTTTAAGGCTTTTAGGTTAGAATTAATAATTTTGAGGTTAGGTTTTGAAGAAAAAACATAAGATATATCAAGGGTCATAATAATCAATTTTATTAATTGCAGATACTTTTTAAACATTTTTTTCTACAACTCAACATCGAGTATTTCAAATTTTTTTTCTTCGACATTGAGGTTGGTGCGCTCCCTAAGCATTAAAAAAATAATAAAAAAAGGGTTTTTCGAAAAAACCTCACCGGAATATGAAAATTCAGATTATCACGAGATTATTAAAAGGAAATCACGACAAGACGATGAAAATTGGCGAGTAGCAAGAATTTTGTCCAATATTTCCCACTGTGCGCCATGGTAAACACACGGTAAAAATGTACTATGCAGGGGGTCGCATCCCCATTCCCAGTAGCGTGAGAAGGAAAACCGAAGTTTCGATTTATGAGAGTTTGTGTTGATTTCTTGACTGGGTTTTGAGGTTATGAGGTTATGGGGTTATTGGATTATTGCGGAATATGGGTTTAAGGTTCAAAAAGCACGTACGGTTCGAACTTACTGTGTTTTAGGGCTTAAACGCGCTTAAGTTTCTTTTTTACCGGGTTATGGGTCTCAGGGTTATGGGGTCTTGAGGTTACTGGGTTATGAGGTTATAGGATTAACGGGTTATGGGGTGACAGGAGTTGAGTGGTCAATGGATAGAGGATTTATTGGGTTTTTGGGACTATTTTTTGAGGTTATGAAAAATCCTGATGTGATGGGGTTAAAGGGACACCGCTTTCGGATTCAGCGATCCCGAAAACATATGGTAGACATAGTCAGACCCCGAAGTAATTTTTTCGATTTTTTTGTGGAACTGTGTTATAGATATTTAATGGGGCAGCAAATGCAGAGGCATAATAAAATTGCCGGTAATTGAAGTCAGGAGGTTAAAATCGCAACATAAGCTACATCTGGTGAAAAATTGGTTCATTTGTAAATTGATGGCAATATTGTAGCAATTTTATTTCGTTTAGATACATTTTTACACTTCGATTCCAGCTATTAAATAGTTTTATACTAAAAATCCAAGTTTACTATTGTAATACATACAGAGTGGGCTCTTGAAAACAAAACAGAGCAAATAACACTCAGAAAAAATATTTTTCCGAGAAACGCCGAGACAGGTCGATTTTTGATCGAAGGGGTACATCTTTTCACACAAATTTCTTGTTATTACAGACCCCGCCAAGGAGGGGGGGGGACAAACTCCAAAAATTCAGATTTAAGAATAGCAAACTGAAGAAATCATTTATTACTTTTAAGTACATATTACAAACAAAATAAATTACATTGTGTTGCAATAGTTCTTAATATGAAATGTTTAATTACTTAATAATAATTAGTTATTTAATTAACACATTAACAATAGCGGCTGGTGAAAATTGAAGTGGTCATATTCATATTTTGATAATGAAGCATGGGACCCCTACCGTTTATTAAGGAATGATTTCTACGAGAAAGAGAACTTTCATGATGAAAAAATTTTTAACGCAATTTGGCAAATAAAAAACTAAAACGACGCTGGGATCTCGAGGACTGCAAATATTTTTTCATAATCAGCTGTTTTTTCATTTTTAAGAGAATTAAATCTTCTTTATAGTTCTTTATAGACCTATGTACCTATTTAAATTTTATGAAAAATGGAAATTTTGAGAAATACAGCGGTTGTTTGTGTCTAACAGTTGATTATGAAAAAGTATTCTGTAAATATATGAGCAATCGTTTCCGAGGTCCCTATTTTAATTTTTTATTTCACATTTTTTTTTTAATTTTTTACTTCATGAAAGTTCTTTGTGGGCCTTGAATTCGTCTGGTAAAAATGGTATAGGTCTCACGCTTTATTGTCAGAATAAGACTACTTTGATTTTCACCAGCTACCAATATACTTAAAATATACCTATTCACATAGTGATTGACAACAAAACAATGTAATTTAACAACAAAAAACTAAATAGCATTTTGTTCAAAACAATATCATGGGAAACTTGTTTAATTAAATTTTAAATTAAAGAAAGAAGATTTGAATTGGCCAAAGGAAAATAAGTTCGAATCCGTATTTGCCTTATTTTCTTCTGCTGGTGGGCTGCAATAGCTTGGGCTGAATTTTGGACTCGTGTAAGCATCTTCGCAGTCATCTTAAAACACAATGCGGTAATAAATGAATAAATTTATTAAGAGATTATTATTTATAAATCTAAATGTTTTACCGATATTATAAAAAATAATTTTCGCTTATCAAAATATCAAATGTGCATAAATGAATTACATTCACACACAGGGTTTTCCCAGTTACTTTAAAATATTTATAAAGGTGGTTCCTCAGGCCCTTTTAGAAGAAAAACTTCATATAAATGTTCTAAAATATATCGTTTCTAAGCTAATAATTATTAAAATTTTCTATAATCTTTTAACTTATTTATATTTTTCATTATTTAACAAAAATTTTAACAATGGACTACTAATATTTTTATACTGTGTACCAGTGTTTAATAGAGGAGTACTGAAACTTTTTTGAAAATATATTGTACGCTATGGGTGTTTTGTGAACTTCTAATAAAAATTACGTAGTATCAATTTGTTTTAAAATGTAAATGTCAATAGTTACCTATACTCCGCGGTCGAAATTATAGAGAGTGACTAAGACATAATATAAACACTATTACCATAATGCGTATAAAATATAAAATGATTTTTATACGGTTCAATATTATTTATCTTTGTGCCGCTCGCTACGCACATCGATAGAATCTATAATCGTCTAGAGACCGACTTACACTGAACGTCGATCTATATTCTATCTCTGTCTTTTGCACTAGATAGGGAATAGGGAAATGCTTTTTTAGTGGGTGTAAACGGACTTGATTTAACCCGTCCTGAGAAACGTCACAGCATAAGCGTAGACGAGGGGTCTAATTCCATGGCTATAATAAATTTATAAATTAAAAAAACACAATTGGGACGTTTTAAAATGCTGTAATAATTAAAATGGATCAAAGTGCTTGTTATAGCAAACCGTAAAAAATATTAGATGTTATGTTTTATTATCTTTTTTCATTATTTTCTATATCTTGTTGCCTTTTACGCAGACATGCCAATGGATTTTCGTTCCCGGCACGCTTCATCCCCCTTACTAGTCCAAAAGCTAGCGATGAATCACTCTCTATAATTTCGACCGCGGAGTATAATTGTATCTTCGAATAAAATAAAATATTGGGTTTGGGGAATAATTTTGTCCGTTTTTTTTTTCCATTTTTGATATTTTTTTTTTTTCTCTACAATTTTCAACTTCGAAGCCTCTTCTGTAAAAATCTTCCGGTTTTGACTCGAAAAACTCATCCAACCAAGTTCTTAACTCGTTGTCGTTGTTAGAAGAAACATCGCGTAATAAGTTTGACAAAGAGCGGAAGATATGAAAATCAGAAGGCGCGAGATCGGAAGAGTAAGGCGGGTGGGGTAAAACTTCCCAATTCAACTCCCAAATAAAATAAATAGCCATTTTGGTCATATTGGTGATATGCGGTCGCGCATTGTCATGTTGTTGAATAGCCGCGTGGAGTCGCCGTAATTGTTGAACATGTAGTTCTACGTTGATGTTGGCAGTTTTATTATTTGATAAGAATTTGTAATAAATAATCCCTTTCCACTCCCATCAGACGCATAACATTGTCTTTCGAGGATGAAGTTTTAGTTTTGTTCGCGAAGTTGTTTGTTTTTTGGGATTTAACCATCCTTTCCGCTGTTTCAAGTTCACTTACAGACAAAATTTTTCATCACCAGTGTAAATACGATGAAGAAGACGTTCCTTATGACGACTTGTTGATCGATGACGACAGAGCAAACCAGCAGCAATTGCAGAGCATTGATTCTTATTGTTTTCGTTCAAAACATGGGGAACCCAAGCTCTGAGTCTTTGAACTTTTCCCATCGAATGCAAGTGGTTTACTACTGTTTTGTGGTCGATCACATCTTGTTGATTGTCTTAGATTTTCGTGAAGGAGTAGATTCAATTACTCTTCATCAGGGCGTCTGGAACGGCTCATATATTTAAGTTTCAAATCGCCTACTTTAAAACACGAAAACTATCAACGGGCCGTCCGTTCATTCATTGCATTATCATCATATGTGGTACAATTTTTCCGAGCAGCTTGAGTGGCTTTAGCATTTTCCCCGTCTCGATTAGAAACAAAAATGCCGAAAATGATCAATTTTATCAACTTGGCATTCTATTTCAAATGAATGAAAACTCACAAAAATTAAATCTAACGAAGCAACCAAAAACACAATCTAATAGAGCAATAAGTCTTCTTTCGAACGACTATGTCAATTTGACAATGCGTTTAATTTTCATGTGAAATTTTAAATTTGAAAAAAACGGATATTACTTATTCCCTAGCCCGTTAATTAGTGGTTAATAAGTAATCATTGCTATTTTTGAAATATGAAATGTTCAAAAAAATATCTAAAAAAATGTGAATTGTAAAGACTAATTTCTTTTTCACTAAGAATTTCCGTTTCTTTGATCACGGAAATTTCTTTCGTGAAACTAAATTTTCTGTCACCAGTTTCATTTTGATATATTAGAACTGAAATGCCCTGTACAACATATTTTCCTTGAGGTCTTTGAGTTATTGAGTTATTTGCTTCTATAACCAATAATTTTACAATGTCGTGGAAACACTTTTGTACATTTCAGGAGATTAGACGAGGAAAACGATTTACAATTATTTCTTTCAGTCAATAAAAAATTATATGTATTTTTTTCATAGAAGTGACACAAGTTTCGGAATGATGAATTCAAAATAAATAATAAAGTTGTATTATAACCATAAGATTATTTCTGACAAATTTTACTAGGTTAAGTTTCACTAAAGTAAATCTTCTGTGGAGGAAAAGTCATAATGAAAAGGTATAATCTTCTATGATTTCTACAGAACTAATTATTTCTGAAACAATCAATTAAATTCAAAAGAAGTTTTGGATGATTCGGTGCGTAACGTTCCGGTCTTTTTTATTATTATTTTAATTTTTCGAGATTATTATCAATTTCTAAACGACTCATACGTAAAAATCAAAGACGTCGCAGGGCAATGACTTTGGAATCATGCACTGAGCGCTGTGGATCAATATACTTTGTCTCCACTTTCATAGTTTCTTCTCAGAAAGACATTTGATAGAGTCACCTTTGTGAAAATAACACTTTTTAGATTAGATGATAATATTTATTAATGTTAGAATTGTTAGATAATATGATACTGTATTCTTTAGAAACAATAAGTGACGTTACTGTATCTAATAGATATTTTATACAGAATGCGTTGTTCAGTTTGTTGTCATTCTTTTATTTAGACTTACCAGTAACATCCGCTAAGAACTGAGATTCTAAAAGAGCGCTATTATTGTGGTGGTAGTTATTGTTCGTCTTCATATCTGAAAATTATACTAGATTGAATAGCCATAGACATTTATAAATGGTGTATTACCTGAATAAGAACCCAGAAACGTTGCTCGATTAGCGTTTTCCGTTAATAACCCAGGAGCAGTGTTAAATCCTAGAAATTGAATTGCCATATATAATAAGCCAACATATATCGTGACCCGAATTGTATACATAAAATTTTACCTTTATCTATAGAACACTTAAAAGAAGAATTACACGCTTCATTTTCGAGATATAGTGTTGAAATTTCAGAAAAATATCTCATTTATTTAAATATATCTTAAAATGTATCACGTAGATTGATAAAACTTGAAGTAATGATTTAAACCTCAAACCTTCTAACCCCATAACCGTATAATCCCATAATCCCATAACCTATAACTCCAATAACCACGTTACTCAGTAGTTTGACTTGATCTTTCATCGCGGGATATTTTTGGTGATGAATCTAGTTCTGCAGTTTCTGTATTTAAAATGAAATCACACTGTATATTCTTGGAATCACCGATTGGAATTAAATGCACTTATCCAATTTCCAAAATATTCAATGGTGGATTTAGTGGCAGTATCTTCCAACATCTGCGCCACTGATTGACATATTAGTAAATTAACTTAGCAATTTTCCTAAAATAATTAGTCATTACCCAAGTTTAATCAATCTACGTCAAATATTTTAAGAGATACTTACATGTGATATTTTTCTTAAATTTTAACATTCTGTATCCTGAAAACGAAGTGTTATACGACTTATATTTACATGAACATTTTTTCATATTTTGAGATGTTTTATTACAGGAGATGTGTGTAATTCGGGATACCCAGTATTTATAGCACTTTTTCGACCAGATGTTTATGAATTAAGAATAACTGTTAAAATTTGCGTAACTTCTCTTTTTTCGGAATATCTATTTAATATCTGCATTTTGAGTATTTTAATCAACGAAAACAAAACAAACAAAAAAGTAACGACACTCACGAGAGTTGTTTAGCACATTTAGTACAATTAATTCGGTTCTATTACAAAACGAAAGTAACAAAATATACAGGGTGTTTCTTAAGTACTTGTACACACTTTAAAGGATGAATCTTTGACTAATTTTAAGATAAAAAGTTTATATTAACATGGGTCCGCAACGGCTTGGTTCTTGAGATGCAAAAAAAAATTTTGCTTCAGCAATTATTGTAGGTAAATGTTATTAACTTATTTGTAGAAGTAGTTTAGTCTTAGTTTTGTAAATGATCTGCGTTTGTCACTTCACATCGAAATACAATCAATAAAAGACACATTTTTTCACTTATTTTTCAAAAACTCTTAAGGAGAGAACGCATTAGGCGGTCGCGGTCTCATCGCACCGCGGACCGCGCTAATCTCGATCGCGCGCGGTGGAGTTCCTTCCTATGTTTTATACTGTATGCATTCGCACTAGACTTTCCCGAGCTCGTCTCGCTCGCATCGCGTTCTCCACCGATCTTTTCCAAAGAATCTCGGGAGACCGCGATGCGATCGAGACGAACTTCCTCTTCCATATAACTTCCTCTTCCCTTGTTTATGTTTATGTATTATACATAAACAAGGATATAACTCATTTTTTTAACTATTAAAACAATACCTCTACTATTTAAAGACCGCGATCGCCTAATGCGTTCTCTCCTTTAATGATTCAACTTTCAGCGAGAAATACTGAGAATACGATTTGTACGTAGAGGTGTTTCAATATTTCATGAGCCGCGAAATGCGCGAAAGCCGTGGCGTATCCGCATAATAATTCTAATAAGCACGTTGTGAAAACATTGACTCAGAACTAGACTATGTGCATCCTTACAAGTAGAAATGAACTAAGGCGCTCGGGCATCAATAAAGTCGACTGGCGAACGTTCGTTATATATATTTTTATTGTTTAAATTAAAAAAATAAAGAATAGGGCATTTTATTATGATATTTATAATCGGATCAAAGGCTTGTTTACGCTACGAGCTACGACAGCTCGAGAGAAACTGTGAATAATAGGTGTAATGTTTTTAGGACGTAGAATAATTTAGGCGACGGTCGGAATTATGTTTCTGCGCATATAAAGGTCAAAGCTCTTAAGATTTTAAAATACCTCTAAAATTTAAAGGAGAATAGGAGAATATTTAGTCAAAAATGACGTACAGAGACAGTGCGACACAAGAAAGTTATTGTACAACGCTGTATGTGGCGCCCTCTAACATTAAACAAAAAACTAAGTAAATATTTTCTTATCATCAATACTCTCAGTTTCCCGAATTTCGTCAAATTGTCATATTATTGAACAAAAATATAATCAAAATACCAAACTTTTTTTTTTTTTTGGACGATCTGTATCTCAAGAACAAAGCCGTTGCGGATCCATGTTCATATGAACATTTTATCTTAAAATTAGTCAAATATTCACCCTTTAAAGTTTGTACAAGTACTTAATAAACATCCTGTCTGTATACAAGATATCCACTACAAGATGTTGTTAGACGTTTTCGGCATAACGCCCTGTGTATTTTACGGTAGGACTCTACGGTAAATTGTATCTAAAGTTTATTATTATTATTATTATTATTATTATTATTATTGTTGTTGTTGTTGTGGTTGTTGTTGTTGTTTTTGTTGTTGTTGTTGTTGTTGTTGTTGTTGTTGTTGTTGTTGTTGTTGTTGTTGTTGTTGTTGATGTTGTTGTTGTTGTTGTTGTTGTTGTTGTTGTTGTTGTTNATTATTATTATTATTATTATTATTATTGTTATTGCGATCATTATTAACAAATATAAATTTTACCTACCTGAAGTAGAAAAATTGAACGTAGGTTTTTCTTCAGCATTACCACTTTGGATTTTATTGTCCAACTCACTACGAAATTGAGAGTTTCTATTCATATTGATTGTGGTATTTTGGGTTGGTCCAACTGTATTATTGATGCCTGATAATGCCTGAGATAGAAAATTTGTATTTTGCGGCAATGTATTTGTGCCATATTTTTCATTAGGATGTGTTTGAATGGGGACAGCCTTGGCAATATTATCTGTGTTGAAATAAGACATAGTCTTGTTCGGAAACTGTAAATGATATCCACTGGATCCTAGGTTAAAGGTATTAGTTTCAGTTCTCTTAGTGTCAACACTAACTGGATTTAAATTTTGTGTCGCTTGAGCAAAACCACTACATCTCTCATTAGGATCTATCTGTGAATTTTGATTCTTTTCAAAAATGTTGTATTCTTGATTTAGGTTTTGTTGCTGATTAAGTTTGTCTTTCAATTTGTTTCCATTTTTATCAACTTTAAAGCATAGCTGTGATGAGGAAGTGGCTTTAGAATTTTGGCGTGAGATGCTTTTTTTGAAATTTTGCGCAACCTTTTCAAGCTTTGCTGCGATTTCCTTACTTCTTTCCTCTTTCGATTTAAAATTGTAAGTCTTTACAGCATTATGAGCTTGTTTCAAAGTTCTATTCTCCAAGATTCTTACTTTAGAGTTGTTTATGTTGTAAAGCTTCTGATCATCATTTATCTTTGAATTAATGGTTGAATCTGCATCCTTTTTCTCTAACATAGTTTTAAGACAGTCAAAATAATCAATCTGTCGTGGTGTAACTAATAACAAAACATGTCTTAAATAATTTATATAAAAATAATTGTGAACTAGGGTAAGGGTACACTAAAGAAAAATTTAATAATTTTTTTATATTACAGAATTATTTATCACTCTTCAGATACAGTCTTCTATTGGTTGAAATTATTATTTTTTCACATAAACATCAGAAATATTTAAATAGGATACTAAATATCATTTTATTAAAATTCACTTACTATTTTATAAGCAATATCTATTTAGATTTAAGGTATCAAAGATAAATAATTTATGATACGTAAACAGGGTGTCACCTACTTCAAGATGACACCCTGTTTACGTATTACGTACGTTTCCCAAATGGTGTAAATTTAATCAAACTTGCCGCAAAAAAGTTACAGGGTGAAAGATCATTTAAATCAAGCATTTCCAAACCGTTGGATTGGTCGAGGTAGTGACTTTCCTTGGCCTTCTGGCTGTCCGGATTTTAATCCGTTAGACTTTTACTTTTTACTAATACTAACTAATACGGCAGAATAACTTTGGTATAGAATAAAAGACGTCGTACGACAAGTTAGACGAACGTATAACTTGTTTCCTATTCTTAATAGTTTCATATAACGTTTAAGGAAATGTGTCGAAGAGAATGGGGGACACGTAGAACATTTATTATAAATTAATAGTAGACTTTTTATTACTGCCACCTTTCAGTTTATTATGTTATTAATTATGCTTATTAAGTATATATAAGTAGTCCAAAAAATATGGGATGTGTTAATAAATATTTTCTGTAATATCTAAATAAATCTGTAATATCTTCATAACCGAGCATATTTCGACTTTTGATAAATTTTTTGTGTAATAGTACATTATACTATAAGGGAGAGAAATGCGTTATTTTGGCAGAGGTGCAATTTGAAGCCGAGAGCGAAGCCCGAAGGCTACAATGCACCGAGGACAAAATAGCATCTTTCCCGAATGGTATATACTATTTTTTCCACGGTCTCATTAACTTAAAAACACATATTTTGTCATTATGAAGTAAGTAGCACCAGAATTATTGTATTCGGATTTGAGCATTTATTTAGTAGTCGTTGAGTTATTGTCATAACTACAAAATAAACAAACAAAAAGAATTGTCAAATTAAGGTGCTAGTTTGGTTTAGTTTAAAGTTTGTTTAGTGCACAATGAATAATTGTGAGTCGGAAGAGATTGTGGAGGCTGCAAATATTGCAATAAGCAATTTGCTGCCTACGAAGTCAAGATCTTTATACGATATAGCCTACAATCGGTTCAAAAAGTGGTGCGCCGAGAAAAATGTTCAAGTATACAGCGAGAATGTTTTGTTGGCATACTTCAGTGAAAATGCAAAGAATTACAAGTCTTCCACATTATGGGCGCAATATTCTATGGTTAAGTCATGCTTGATAATTTACGACAACATAGATATAAGCAAATTCCCCAAGCTGATCGCATTTTTGAAAAGAACCGGTGACGGATATCAAGCGAAAAAATCGAAAATATTGACAAAGGGTGAAATCGACCGTTTTCTATCAAGTGCAGATGACAAAGAATTCTTAATGATTAAGGTAAGATTACTTTTGTTGTTAGGTATTTCAATTATTAAGTATTTTGATTTTTTATAGGTTGGATTAATTCTGGGGATTGCCGGAGCTTGTCGAACTGATGAACTAGTCAATTTAACTGTAGATGATATTGAGGATGTAGGCTCTTCCTTGATTGTAAAAATTCCAAACACTAAGACAAAGATTCCACGAACCTTTGTGGTTACCGATGTGGGAAATATGCTTGAATTGTTTCGAAAATACCTGTCCCTTCGTCCTCCCCACGTCAAGCATAAGCGCCTTTTTTTGTACTACAAAGCAGGAAAATGTAGTTCGCAGCCAGTTGGCAAGAATACCATGGGAAAAATTCCGAGTGTAGTAGCTTCGTATTTAAAATTACCTGATGCTGCATGTTATACTGGTCACTGCTTACGAAGATCTTCAGCGACATTACTGGCAGATGCTGGTGTGGATATCACGACAATAAAGCGTCATGCTGGTTGGAAATCAACGACAGTCGCTGAGGGTTATGTTGAGAACTCCATTGAAAATAAGACCAAAATTGCTAATCAGGTTTTAGTAGGTATCACTACTAGCGCAATCACAAAAACTGTAAATGTAAGCGAAAGTAATATTCCTTCTAATATTAATTTTGCAAATTGTACAAATGTAACATTTAATTTAAATGTCAATAAATAATTTCAATGTTATCTTTTTTTGCATGAAAAACGTTCTCCATAATGTAAACTCTCTTGGGAGCATTATACTCCCTTGGGAATAATCGACTACTTCCGTTTTAATTTTGATGTCATAGAAACTGATTTCTACTCCCGACCGTGGAAAAAAATAAAATTATTTACCTATTTCTGACAGAAATTATTAACAAAGGGTTGCAGTAAAAATAACGCCCTAATAGGAATATGAACATAATCACTGCATACTTCATGAAGAGAAACTAAGCAACAGCAAATTTTGCTCAAATCGGTTAAATGGGTTCTGAGGTAAGGAGAAAACAAGAAATAAAAAAGGAAACTTTAACACCCTGTAACTTATTTGCGACATTTTTCGTTTAAGCAAGTTTCGTTAAATCGACACCATTTGGGTTCTAGATTATACCCTTGAAGTATGTAACATTCGTTAGGTGACACACTGTATATTGAAAAAGTCAGCTAGGAAGGTGGTATCTGTTTACATTACCTTTTGTCGGAGTGCTTTCCTTCTTGTTCTTGTCGATGACATTCGCAGAAATCTGCAAGTGATACGTTCTTATACAGTGTGGCCCATTAAGAGAAGCAGGACACCCATTTAAATATTTTTTAGGACGCACGATTTAAATTATTATATAATGTATAACTGTGACTACATAGCCTCTATACCTCAAATATCAATTATAATGCACAATAATTTTTGTATACAGACTTAATGTTATGAATTTATTGTTTCAGGGAGCACTGGAAATGCCTGAAGATGAGAAATTAGCCACTGACGCTGAAAATTATGATAATACATACATATATGTAAATAATAGTCCTCATATAAATTATTATGTCCATAGCTTTAGATAGGACCTAAAATGTTCACAGTTTTTAGTACACAAGGGTCCCAAAAATTTTTGAGAGGTGTTCTGACTTCTCACAGTATACAGGGTGTCTCATAATTAGCTGCCAACCCTGAACAGGCCGATTCTATGATCAAAACTAAGTAAAAAAGTTCATATGAACATTGGTCCGGAAATGCTTCCTAAGGGCACAGGGACCCATTGAAGAGGGAGGAATGGAAATCATTTTTTTGCAATATCTCTCAATCGCGTTGTGATAAATGAATGAAATTTGGTATACACAGCTAAATTTTGATGAGCAATTTGATGGACTAATCCATTTATTTCCACAAGGTCCATTGGGGTGGGTACGGGGGGGCCCTTGGTACTTTGCGTGTGTAACTTTTTCATCTTTGACTTTTTAACAAATTGGACAGCAAATTCCGTTTTCCCGAACTGTTTTACGTTAAAAAGGTACTCTTGTTTCAAATCGTTATCTTTAACGGTTTCTGAGAAAATCGCTCTTGAATTAATCCCACTTTGGTCAATTTCATAGTAATTTAAACAAAAAATAATAATAATAATTTAATACGTAATCAGTAATACACATTATTGATGTAGAACAATTATGATATGATGATTTGTTTATGGCTTTTGCGATGGTAATGCTGCGCGGCAGAACGCGAGTACGGCAGAAGGTTTCCAAACAGAAGGCTGACATCAAGGAGGACATTCCTCACTGTATTCCGCAATTTAGCTGCAACCGTCACTTTTCGAAGGGATCATAAGATGGAAACTTAATTTTGATAACAGACAACAAGCTATTTTAAAAACTGTTCAAAAAACCCTCCACCTTCTCTGATACAAAGTCTTGCCCTACGTGTAACACTTCTCGAAGCTATTAAGATGCTAAAACGGTTTTGACGAATTTCATTGGCTGCATCATTGATACGCTGCAGCAATTCCTCACGGGTATCGACTTCGGTGGCGTAAACTTTTTGATTTAGATATCCCCAGAAAAAGAAGTCCAGCGGGGTTAGGTCGGGAGAACGCGGCGGCCAAGCTACCGGTCCGTGCCTCCCTATCCACCGTCCAGCGAAATTTTCGTTTAGGAAATTTAGAACATTGCGACCACTATGTGCCGGGGCTCCATCGTGTTGAAAAAACATGTTACGTCGTAAATTTAGAGGCAGATCATCGAGAATTTGGGGAAGATTTTCTTGAAGTAAGTTTAAATAAAGATTTGAATTGAGACGTTGTGGAATTTCAATAGGTCCAATCAGAGTGTCGTGAATTATTCCCGCCCATAAATTTATGGAAAACCGTTGCTGGAAGTTTGTTCTCCGAACAACATGTGGGTTCTCTTCTTCCCAATAATGAGAATTATGAAAATTTAATTTTCCATTTCGGGTAAAAGTAGCTTCGTCACACCACAAAATTTTGGAAGCTTGCTCGTTGTCCAGCGACAAAATCCAGCGACAAAATTGCATACGTGGCGCAAAATCTTCTGGTATCAAGCCATGTACACGTCGATAGTGATAGGCATGTAGACCTTGTCGCTTTAATATTCTTCCAACCTGAAATGTTAGTAGCACATCTAATCAATTCTGTTAAGGAAATCTTTAAGATATGTAGTACCGTTGGCCGAGGAACATTTATTTGCCTTGAAATGTTCCGTATGCTAGTCGTAGGATCTTGTTCAATAGCGTCAAGGACCTCCGCTTCCCTATTAATCCTGGGACGTCCTTGACCCGGTGCCTTTCGAAAAGTGGCGGTTGCAGCTAAGTTGCGGAATACCGTAGGGAATGTCCTCCTTGATGGCAGCCTTCGGTTTGGAAACCTTCTCCCGTACTCGCGTTCTGCCGCTGCAGCATTACCATCGCAAAAGCCATAAATAAATATCATATCAACTAACTCTTGTCCCGTAAACTCTTCCATTTTTTTCGCTTAGAACTATTAAATTGGCAATCGGGTTGACAATACTTTGACATAAGAATACCTTGATAATTTTGTTTAAATTACTATGAAATTGACCAAAGTGGGATTAATTCAAGAGCGATTTTCTCAGAAACCGTTAAAGATAACGATTTGAAACAAGAGTACCTTTTTAACGTAAAACAGTTCGGGAAAACGGAATTTGCTGTCCAATTTGTTAAAAAGTCAAAGATGAAAAAGTTACACACGCAAAGTACCAAGGGCCCCCCCGTACCCACCCCAATGGACCTTGTGGAAATAAATGGATTAGTCCATCAAATTGCTCATCAAAATTTAGCTGTGTATACCAAATTTCATTCATTTATCACAACGCGATTGAGAGATATTGCAAAAAAATGATTTCCATTCCTCCCTCTTCAATGGGTCCCTGTGCCCTTAGGAAGCATTTCCGGATCCATGTTCATATGAACTTTTTTACTTAGTTTTGATCATAGAATCGGCCTGTTCGGGGTTGGCAGCTAATTATGAGACACCCTGTATATTTAGTAGGCAACTTGCATGAATTTTCAATTTCTTTTAGAACTGCATAAATTTGTAGTCCATAACCGACAAAAACTAACAGTGGTAAAAAAATTATTTTTTTAATGCTACAATAGTATGTACATTGTGTAACGAGTGAGGAAAAGTTGCCAATAGCGCCACGCGGGCGCAGTTGTTGCACGAGCGAAGCGAGTGCGGAAAGCGCCTTAGTGGCGCTATGGCAACTTTTCCGAACGAGTTACATACAATTTTCTATCACAAGTGCGAGTCGTTATGGGACCTATAGCGTAGGGGGTTATATGCATATGAAAATAACATCACGCCGTTGTACTATCTGGCACATTCCGTGCACATAACCCCCTACGCTATAGGTCCCATAGCGAGCGCGCCTGATAGAAATTAATTATAGATGTTTAAAACTATGTAAAGGTTTAAATTTTGTAACCTGAAGATCGCATTGTTACGTCATATAGTGTGACCGAGAACACAACCTGTTCATAGGCCTTCTGTCGTCTAGTCGACAATTTCAATGCCTTATTACTTGGGTACTATGCTCATGATATCAGGCCAACCTATCCTTTCATCAGATTCTTGATTGCACTAAATGACGTCGTGAATTAGCGTGGCAGTAAACACCCGTCTAAATTATTTTAGGGCGCCAATCTTTGAAAATTAATTTATTAACCTCTAAGAGATTTCCTATATTGTCATTACATGATTGGGTATACCTATAAATTTATAGATTATCTAGATATTAAAAAAATATATATGCAAGTTGCCCTTTAAATGATCCTTTAGATGTGTAGATCATAATAAAACATTAAGGCAAAAAATGAAACTTATACGAAAATCTACGATCTTGCTAAATAGGTATTGGACGTAAAATACAGACTACTCATACTCAAGAACCGTTGAAGACACAGACTATAGAATTGAATATAGTGCAACTTCTCATAGTAGCATATCCAATGATAGAGTAGCTGCTTACATGTAAAATTTGAACAAAAACTGTAAAAACAAGATGATTGACGATGTAAAAACTATGTTATGAGCATCGCCAAAAGTTGACTACAAACAAAACACAATCGCTTTTATTCCCGAACAGTTTAGGAAGTTCGTAATTATGAAAAAGTTGATTCTACAGGGTGTTCCACCCAAGAGGGATTCTTCTGTAACTCTGCAATTGTAAAATTTATCAAAAAAAATGGTTTTAATAAAAGTTTCCTGGCATCATGTGGGCCATGTAAACAAAATATTTTTAAACTAATTTTTAAATTTTACTTATTTATTCTGAACTTCGGAATATAATATGAATAGTAGTACATTGGACAGTTTTTGGAAAATTCTTAATCATGTTCACGTAAGTTGAAATTATTCGTGTTGTACCGGTAAAGTTCCTCCTAGATTGACCAATCAATCAATCCCAAATCAATTACATATCCCCACAAAACAAAGTGGGATGTCTGAAACACAAAGCTATGGTATCTATATGTTTTTGGGGACGTTGAATCCGATTCAGGTGTCTGTTTGACCCGATCAGATCTACTAAATACTCTCAACTTCTAAACTCAAAACACTCAAGTTAAGCATTTATGCGTATTAAAATGTGAGTAACAATTAAAATTAAAGAAAGAAAACTTTAACACTGAGCCCATGACTCTCGAGTTAATTGTTTTGACATGACAAAATTCTAGTATCAATAAGTCCCTAAAAACGTATAGATATATGTGGGTTTACTTCGTTGGCAATTCTTTCTCTATATTTGATCTTGAACTGACCTTAACCCAGACTTGATTGGGTCAAACGGACAACGGATTTGAACTCAGCGGTCCCAAAAACATACAGATACCATGGTCTTGTATTTCAAACCTCCCACTTTTTTTTGTGGGGCTATGTTATTTTCGTTAATTGGTGATTTGACTTATGTCAATTTGTGCTATTTGCATAAAAAACTATCAAAATTTAATTGTTGCAGTGATTTAGGTCAAAACATTGGGATATTGCGTAAAAAGATTGCATAAAAATGAAATTCAAATTTATGCTCAAGGTTGGCAGTAGGAATTTTCCTACAAAATGTTTTCCACTTTAACAATATTTAGGGACTATATTTTTCACATGATTTCATATTCCGCTACTAAAATACTTTACTAAAAGTTAAAAATCGTTCTTTGAGTGGATCAGATATATATTCTAATTCTTTATATCTGAAACAAGTAGAGTAAAAACATGAAACAGATCAGCTGTTTAGACCGTGTATCGTTGATTGGGAGGCACTACCGCGCAACAATGTCAGAAATAAACTACTACTGATACAAAAAATTGTATAGGTATTAACTTCCAATTAAAATTAGATAAAATTTAAGATTTTATGTTTGAAGTTCGACGAAACAACTGTTACTAATGTATGAATTAAATTATTTCAAGCGATTATTGTCTCCAAGAAAATAATTGCTTTAATAAAAAAGGAAAATGTAAGAGCTAAAAACTCTATAGTTGTATACTACTACTATGGGTTTCTTTTGGTTAAAATTGACGAATATTAATCGTTATTATGTTTATGCATTTATGGATTACCTCTATTTGGGAAATATTGAAGCTGCTGGTATGATTTCGTAAAAATCTGCCAGTTTGTTTCTGTTTCAGCATCTCTGTCACTTCTCCTAATTTCTTCATAAATTCTCTTTCCTTTCTCGTTTCTTCTTTCACATAGTCCATAGTTTCTAAGTATTTCTTATTATGTAACCAATTCTGAGCGAACTCAATATTATCGTTATAAAAAAGTTGATGTTTCATTTCCGTCTTTTGTTGACTTATTTTTTTTAATTCCATAATTTTTTGTTGCAAATCCCTGCAATGGATTTGTTTTTGTCTGAGCTTAATTCTTTTTTCCTGGAGGATTTTGAAAGTTGGATTTGTTAATTCAAGTCTCTCTTTACAGGTTTTTATGTACTGTGCATATTCATCAATTAATCTATCAGCTTTTTCTTCGTGATTTTTTATTTTGTCTGCAAGGCATTTCCTGAGAATTCGCTGATTTATCAACGATTGTTGATTTAAAACAAGATTTTCAGTTTGCCTGAAAAAAAATATGGATATACATTGTATTTTAAATATGTATCGTGTGATGGATATATTTTGGGAAATACGGTTTTCTTGAAAGCGATTCAAGATAATTTCTGCTAATGATGTTATATATTTTCAGTTGCTGTCGCTCAAATGTGGGACAATTTTTTTAAATATATATTGACACCACTCAGTAATGCCTTGAGCTATATTGTAAGATTTTTTTCTATTTAGCGTTATTTTTTATATATTTTCAACTGATTTTGAAGTGGATTCAAAAAATGGATAAATTTAAAAAAGTGTTTATAAAACGTTGTTTTTCAATGTTAACGTAGGTTCCTATCTAAAATTATTTTGCAGAACAAATTAAATTTATGTGATAATTTAAGATTACCGTTAAGATAATGTCGGAAGTTATTTACTTGTGGCAAAGTTTTCGTCTTTTTCTTTATTTCTTGGGTATTTTGCCGCCTGTGAAGAAATTAAAAAATTAATGAAATAAACCCTTTCGCCAAAAGAATCAGGGTTATTTTTAGGAAAATAGTTTTGCCTAACCAAATAATCTCTGCTGAAAGAAGCAGACAAATACTATAAAAAACACTTTTATATCGCGCACTTTAAAAAGTTGTTTTGAACTCTTTTTGACTTTTAAAATGTCAAAGTAACTAAAATGAAAAGTAAAAAAAGTTCAGAAGACGAAAACAGATTTTCGAAATGTTAACAACTTTTTTAAGTGCGCGATATAAAATGATTTGTTTTTGTATTCTGTATTTGTCTTTTTTCAGTGTGAGATTTCTTTGGTTCGGCAAATCTATTTTCTTAAAAATAACCCTTAACTGACCCTTTTGGCGTAAGGGTTAATTTCACCAAATTTTTTCACAAATGGCAAAGTACCCAAAAAATAAAGAAAAAAATTACCGAGGTTTTAAAAACTTTTGGAAATATAATAAAGCGCTAAATAGAAAAAAAAAGTTGGCATCATGGTTTTGAGAAAAAAAAATATTGTTTTTTTCAATGGTTTTCAAGGAAATCGCATTTCCATCAGTTAGCGAATGTTGGATCAAAAAAGATCAAAAATGAACAAAAAAACAGAGATGGGTATTTTTTTAGCAGAATACAATATAATGATGTAGAGGTTCAAAACTGGTGTGGGATTGTTTACAAGTGCTGACTGAACTGGCCACCAACAATACAGTCAGACTGTGTTGGGTGCCAGGGTACAAAGGCATTTGTGGAGTTCATTGGCCCGGAGCCCTTCTGTGGCACATCTCCCAGTGTGGTCAGACGGGCTCTGGGCAAATGGACTGAGACAGAACACAGGAAATACTGGACTTCAAGGCCAGGACATAGCCATTCTAAGGAGCTCATGGAGTATCCTTCGAAGGAAAGAGCGAATGAACTACTGAGCTTGAACAGAATCCGGCTCAGGAGAGTGACAGGACTCATAACGGGACACTATCGCTTTAGGAAACATCTACATAAGTTAGTCCGATCTGCCGAGGATGTGAATCGGCGGATGAAACTTCTCTGCATATCTTGGGCGAGTGCCCGGGATTTGCACGTAGCAGAATGGCGCTCCTTGGGAGACCCTATTTGGAACCCAAGGAACTGAGAGTAGTGTCAGCAAGGAAGCTTTTGGACTTTGTAAAAAGGACAAATCTACTTGCTGAATAGGACTAGTAGTGGGACGCACAATAGGCCTAATCAGGCCGCAGTGCAATGGGACTTATTAGGACCAACCACTAGAAGAAGAAGAAGAAGGAGAAGAAATTGCAAGTTTTGTTGTTTTTGAGTTCAAGATGAAATGTACATTTTGATATAAAACACCTTGTATGTTCGTTCTTCTATTATCTTGCAATTTAAACGAGTCTTTCAGTGACATATTACATGACATATTTTTCGAAAATAAAACAAAAAGGAATTAGACGGAGAGCTAGCTACGTGTGGACTGCACTGATCGACTATAGTCGTGATTTTTTGTTAAAAGTTTCTTATCACATTGATAAAGCCAGAGTCCATCAGTCAGAAGTCGCTCTAGAGGCGGAGAGCGTGGGCGGGCGGTTAAATGCGTGAAGTTTTGTCAATAAAAAAATAATAGAATATAGTCATGAAAATTGGTACACTTATAGATTTTAAATGGATAAACATAGAAAAAATATTGTCAGAAGGCTAGGTAGGTAGTGGCTTAAGCGCTCTCAGAAGCGATAAAGTAGTAAATTGTGAATTGAAAATTAAATCACACTATATAGTTCTGACATTTTGTTTATTGTTAGTTTATAACGCAAATAGATTATCTGTAAAGTTACAGAAGTTAAAAGTGAGGCTAATAACTAAAAAAAAAAACATTATTTATCACCGCGCGTGCAAATTTTGCCGTGGCTGTTACGCCCGGCGTTTTTATTCTTTTATTGTTAAGAAATGAATAAATATGAATAAATATAGTTCTGGCATTTTACATAGCCACTCTTTACATATATATTTATGTTATAACGAAACAGCAGAAGTTTATTCAGAGGTTAAGATTATGCCAGAGTCAAGTAAAGCGCGCAAGACGATAGCACAGGCCGACAAAAAAAATTGTTTGTTTTTGCAACATGACCCTACCTATCTTTAGTAAAATTTTCCGCTGCATCCGAACCTGATAAAAAGAAAATTTTCTGACGTCACACACTCTCAATTCCCACCAAAAATTAAAAAAATCCAAACTTGCTATCCAACCTACCTATCTTTAGTAAAATTTTCCGCTGAACCCGAAATCCCTAAAAATGCAAAAAATCCAAACGGGTCATACAACCTACCTATATTTAGTAAAATTCGCTGAATCCGAAAATGGCAAAAAAATTGTTTGGACGTGAGGGATGCGTCTACTCATTTGTATCTCTCACTTTCTTTCAAAAATAAAAATAAATACAAATCAAACGTGGCAACCGTTATAACGTTTATAAAAATCTGTCGATAAAACCAAAACTAAAAAATATTTTTGAACTAAAAGTTCTCTTTGCTCGTACACTTAACCTCACCCCCAGATAGTATTTACAAATTACGGTGAGCATCCTAGCATTGATGAAATTTTTAATTGAAAGCTTACTGTTTTTCAAAATGTTTCAAGCTAGGTATGTATTTTCTAAATCCAGGTTATAACTTACTCTGGGTTGGTAGACGCCTTGACGTGGCCCCAGGGCTTGAACTGGCATTTTAATTGAATGCGAAATTAAAATGCTAAAACTATATAGTGTGATTTAATTTTCAATTCACAATTTACTACTTTATCGCTTCTGAGAGCGCTTAAGCCACTACCTAGCCTTCTGACAATATTTTTTCTATGTTTATCCATTTAAAATCTATAAGTGTACCAATTTTCATGACTATATTCTATTATTTTTTTTATTGACAAAACTTCACGCGTTTAACCGCCCGCCCACGCTCTCCGCCTCTAGAGCGACTTCTGACTGATGGGCTCTGGCTTTATCAATGTGATAAGAAACTTTTTACAAAAAATCACGACTATAGTCGATCAGTGCAGTCCACACGTAGCTAGCTCATGGACTAAATATGGAATAAAGTTGTTTAAACATATATCCCATTTAAAATATTTCGATGAATTTTCGTAATGCTGTAAATAAAAACACTTAAAGTAAATATAGAAGGTTAGGGTCTATCTTATATTTCTATATCAACAACCCTACATAGTTAAGTATATTCTAATAATTAACTACGATTAAGCCTTTAATAGGCCTTTAGTAATAATGAGGCATAATATGTAAGAAAAGAATGTTGAAAATGCATACATGTGGAAGAAAGGCGACATTATTTCCTCTGTCATAATTTAATAAATACTTTCCTACAAATACATTTTGTTATCCATACTAATTCATTTTTGAAACAGTCTCATGATTCAAAATTTACATGATAGGTACATGTTTATATTTTTGATTATTTAATTGTTTGAAAAGTTGTTTTTTACTTTGTTAAGGTTTAATTATTTAATTAGTATATTTAGTGGAGTCAAGATAGCTTAAAATTATGCATTATTTCGAAGTAATTATGGGAAGCATGGATTTTCCTAAAACCTTTTGAAATTACTTGGAGATAAGTATTAGAAAATAGTTATAAACTTATTTTTGTACGCTAATTGTGTTTTAATTGTTTAAACAATAATAAATATTTTTTTTAAGAACATTTAAAATAATTCATAATGAATCTTAAATCGAATTCTTTCAAATTGACAATATAGGGGTTTTCGATGTCTCTGAACAAGAATATGAAGTCGGAAAATAAAAATTCAAAATGGCTGATCCAATATGGCCGACTATTTTAAACAATTTATTTAACAATTATCGATTTTAAATCAAACTCGCTTATATTTCTATTATAGGGGTTTTTGAGGTCACTAAACAAGAATATGATGTCGGAAAATGAAAATTCAAAATGGCTGATCCAATATGGCCGACTAGATTAAACAATTTATTTAACAATTATTGATTTTAAATCTAACTCGCTTATATTTGTAATATAGGGGTTTTTGACGTCGCTAAACAAGAACATGTCAAAAAATGAACATTCAAAATGGCTGATCCAATATGGCCGACTATTTTAAACAATTATTTATTTAACAATTATCGATTTTAAAGCAAACTCGCTCATATTCGTAATATAGAGGTTCGAAAAATGAAAATTATAAATGGCTAAAGAGGTTTTATTGAAAATATGTTTTATTTTTTAAAAAACTAATTTATTACAAAATAATTAATTTTTAAATTTCATCGAGTTCTTGCTCTTCTTCAAAAATAACTGGGCAATTAAGGCAATCAATGCCAGCACAGGAAGAGCATGCTGCAGTGCAAATCAACCCTACTTTCCTGTAGCCGCAATTGTTGCCACAGCCAGATTTGCGCCTAAAAAAAACATTTTTTATTCCTATATCATAAAAATAAATTTTATTAATCTTTAAAATAAGCCATCGTTTATTGAAATTGCTTAAGGCATTTAGAAGTTATGACAATTTAAAAATTTCAAGATAGCGTCCTTCATATTGACGTTGCTATTGTAATAACAAAAAAAAAGTTCATAAAAAACTTGTGAAGGGTGCAACAGTGTATCTAAAAAATGTATTTGCAACTTAGATTATATAAGCGAAATTTCGAAAAACCGACAATTTTCTGTAATACTATAGCAGTTGCGCCCCCTAGCTGTGAAGTTACAAACTTGAAAATATTTTAAATCAATTTCTTTTGGTAGTATTTGTTAATAGATTTTTTACCCCATAATCGTAGCACGTCTAGTTTTCTATATACAGCCGCTCGATACCGTTAATGGATCACCCTGTATGTACAGGGACGGAAAGTCCCCATGGTTCATCGGCCGTTACGTGAGAGCGATAAAGTAAGTCATAGAAATCCGTGCGATAGAGAAAGATGGCTATAATGAAGGCGTTTAATAGTCACCGCCCATTTCGCCCTTCCA